GAGCATAGGCTATATATAGACTCCCTAGTTGCCGTGCTCTCTGCCTCGCTCACACGGCTGCCCCACTCTGCCCGCGCAGTAGTACCGCGCAGTGCTCCATGCAGTGGTCGCTTACAAGTATGCGTCGTGCAGGCATTGTGCTTTCCTAATATATACACCACCAGTGCATAATTTTCGAGCCCATTAACAATATAGACATAAAGGCAAGTGTCATGTAATTTATTTCTTGTTATACCACCGTATCGTAAAATATCGATATCCGGAAGTTGTATCGCGATATATCGAGTTTTCAAAATATATTGCAATATACCGATATACCGGTATATTGTTACACCCCTAGCACGTACCCCCTTCCTTTTCCTTTTCTTATTTCCTATTTAGACTTTTAAAATAGGAAACGGATCAGAAACCCATTTCTTATTTCCTATTTAGACTTTTAAAATAGGAAACGGATCAGAAACCCATTTCCTATTTTCTATTTTCATTTTAAAAATAGGAAACAGGTCAGAAACCCATTTCCTATTTGCAACGTCAAATGGGAAAACAAACTAATGGTATGTACCGTGATTGTTCAAACCGGTTGCATATATCAGTCACAAACTGTGGCGATATCAAATCAAGTGTTTTGAATAGGTTTCAAAAATAAAATTGTTCTCATATTACATACCTACGTATATCATGTTTACCATAATTGAAACACTGATATTAGAACAAGTAGTGGTATAATTATGTTGGTCAAAGAATTTTATTATGCATTCAAACTTGACAACGATCAGAAAAACCATTAGACAAAATGGTGACTGGTGTATCAAGATTTCAAATATTCTTTATGCCATAAAACAGTCAACATGCACATGGCAATAGTGCCACACAGTTGTGGTGGTGCGACACATCGGATTGTATTCACAGTAGCAGGCGTATAAGAACTGTCTGAAATTACCGCAGCTTCATGAAAAACGAATATTTGGGCAAAGATAACGTTTTATTGCCAATCTTCAACGATCCCACACTCGAACAACGATATTCTACTGCAGACGAAGATTGGTAGGATGCCATAGCTGCTAATTGGCTAGTATATCAATTTTATTACCCTGGCAGAACATGATATTAATCACAGGAATGTTTAAGCCCAATCAAGAAAGGAGGCAGAAGTGGCTGCTGATACTTAAATAAGATTTTTCATTCCTCGCTCCCATCTATCGCTGCCACTTATCCTATTCCCTTTTCTCTTACACTGTCATTTCCATTTACACGTACAAATGCACATTTCCGCTCTCCTCGACTTCTGTTTCTCCCAACACCTCCCAGCCTTCAACTCTTCTCCCTCCCATTTTTCTTCATCTCATCACCTTAGTTGTCTAAATGCAACTATTCTTATCCATAATCCTCTACCACTTCTTTAAATCACCCTCTACAGATGACATACCTAGCCGCATTTGTCTGCATTTAAGAACTAATTTCATACAAATTGTTTCATGCCTGTCTTGCACCACCAAAAAATGCATTTGATGAAGACACACATAAACACATAGAGATTATCAGGCTACAAAATATCTTTACATGAAAATCAGGAGTGGAAAAGCTCCTGCCATTCTAGCTAAAGTATAAAATAAGTACTCGCTCAGAACAGCTCTGACTTGCATTACGTGAGTTAGCAAATAATCGATTCCCACACTGCTCACAAATATACGTTTTCGCTATGGTGGGTGGCTAACACATTGCTAAGCCCATCGCTCTCAACTCTAGCAGCAAACTGCATGCAGCGCCCCCTTCCCACACTCAGGATATACCACTGCCACAATGCTAGCACTATTTTTAAAGTAGGCAGAGCTCCGGGGAAATCCAGCAAATGGCAAGCCAACGGCTGCGTAGTCGCCGCCGAACAAAACATTAGAAATTTCTATGACTTGCATGATTGTTGGTGGACAAATTTAGATGTTTTAAGCTGAATACGCAAAAACGTATCAAAGACAATGTTCGAGAATTAAGTATATTGGCAAGCATCCCAAAAATGCATGATAAATACGTGAACATAGTTTAGTAAACAGCGTAATGATTTGAAAGTAGTAAATGGGCGCACTATTTCGTATCACTATTTTATCAAATTTCTCATGAAATAATGGTCCGACTTTTATTATCTTTGCAGTTTTTATAAGTACACACCGTATTAAATAGGACAGGGGTAACGGGGTCGCTGTAAAACTGATAGTAAAAAAGCGTAAGAAATTCTTACGGAAATCAGCTTGTGGCAGTGGTAGAATTGAGCCAGAGCGAGAGCGGCATCTGTCGTGGAGTTTGCTCTAGCAGATGTACAGTGGTGACATCTGTTGGCGAGGAACTGCTGTACTTGTTACTTCATTCTGTACAGCATCTTTCTCTGCATTCGATGCTGGATCTCACCTCTGCGGAGCATTATCTGGAGAACCTTGTAGATTACTTGTTCGGGGTATTTCTGTAACGACACAGCCTCACTAGTAATCACTGAAGGCATGAGATAGCCTCTTCCCCCCTCACAAGGTCAGTGTGGGAAAACACTCGTAAGAAGCACGGAAATATCACGGCGCAAACCTTCGTCGCAATGTTACGGACTCACGATACAATGACGTACACCATATACATGATACAAAATGCATTGGACTCTATAACCGCTACGCGATTACCAGCTTAAGGATGGCAAGTCGTGACTATTGACCAATCAGAGAGCGCGTCTCATACACGCTTCGGCCGATGCATACATTCTAAAAATCGGAGCGGGTTGGATCGAATCGAAAATACGCGAGAAAATATCGAGGATCGGATCGAGGGAAGACAATCGCAATTCGACCCGATTTCGGTGGATCGTCATCACATCCCCATCTACTACCTCTACGGTTTTTAACCTTTTTTAAGTCATGGATCCACGAGAATCCGGTGAAAGCTACGGACCCCTCCCCAGAAAAATGCACATAAACACAAACACAAAATGTTGCAAGCGCCTGGTTCAAGGACCCCCTGAAGCCCATTCACTGTTCACGGACCCCCTGAAGCCCATCCACTGTTCATGGACCCCCTGAAGCCCATCCACTGTTCATGGACCCCCCCCCTGAAGCCCATCCACGGACCCCAAAGGGGTCTATGGACCACAGATTAAGAAACCCCGCGCTTTACCTGCTTGAGGAAATCCTGCAGGATGCTGTGCTCGGAGACCTGTGTGCCGATCGCGAATCTCCGCTTCATCTGCTTTTCGATGCGACTCAGCATCTCCTGGTCTTCCTGAGTCGTGAAGCCCTCAGCTCCTGATGAAGCAAACATCGTCCGATCATCATTATTATTATTAATTATTATTATCACTAAAGGATTATCATTATCGGAATATGATAATTATCATAATCATTATATTATCATATGCGCCAATACACGCTGTAGTTATTTAGACAATTTCAGTCGAATTCACCCGACTTTAGAAATCGACTAGATTCTCGCAGGCCCAGCGGAACACGCAATTGTTAGCTTAGCGGCGCAAAAAAACCTGACACCGCTTCAAGAACGAATGCTATTTTGGTAGGCATGCTTCGCCACTTAACCTCGCAAATAACCAAAGAAAACCAGCGATTGTTCGGGCGAGAGAACGAATCCTTAGAATCGGGAGTTGATTATTGAGAGCTTAATTTACACAACTTAAGTCAAGGTTGAGAAGAAGACCAAATGTTAAGAACAAAAAACCCTTTAACTTAGATGGTGTGTGGTTTTAACCACTAATAATTAATCATTTTTAAATAATAACTTTTTTGGCTGTTGTGCAGAATACACATATTTTACGCTGTTAACGAGAAAGCTGTTTATTGCATTGTAATTTTAAAATCGGCTATTGCATCGAAACGTTTCCCTAAGCTTTTCGCGAGTACGATATTAATTCCGTGCACTGCTTACCCGATAGATTTCCAGACATGGCGGCATCAAGGGTGGACACCTGGAATAACCTCAGTGCCTCTTCCACATGCGCTTCGTTAGCAAATGGCTGCAACCTCATTTTAGCTAACGACTCGGAGATTCGGATAATCGCTTCTAGTTGCCTGCGAACAAAAATCACAACTGAAATCCGTGACAATTTTACTTGCTGGTTATCGACAGAAATAAATTTCAACAAATATACCACGACTATATCCTATAGAAAGGCCTCTCGGGGAAAAACATATATAGAGACACAGAGAGAGAGAAATTACATGCACTTGTTATTGAGAGTACATCACGGAGCTTTACTAGGCATATAATGACACATGTTCTCACCGGACTGTGATGGGGATGGAGGTTTTACGCCCCATGTCTCTCTCCTGTTCACCGGAACCACTTCTCATCAGAACATATCGATTCTTCAACTTCTCACCAGCAGGCGCCGCCAGCCGCGGGCCGCACCGCCTACAATTATACACACATAAAGTGCTCAACAAAATGCCACGGTGTGCATTTCCCGTCACTCTCAAACTACGATTGTTACTGTTACTACACTACTATTAATAATCAGGTATTGGTCATGGATCCAGTTTCCATCATTTCTATGGATATTTAAACGACACCAAAAACTACATTTTAGAATAACTGACTAGCCATTATATTCTTGTTCATAAAGTCCAATCAATAAATGACTCATAAATTACAGGTGCGATATTAGTTTTAAATGAAAGTGTCAATGACACTGTAGCTCACCACAAAAAAGGACACAAATGAGTGAGTAAAAAGAAGTCAGTTTTAATTGAGCAACCATCGACGTACATTATATAAACGATTGCCATCTGTATATCGCAATAATAATTTATAAACCAAAATGAATCACAATTTGTGACTGTAGATGGCAGTATACCCGCTTTGTAGCGATGGCGTTTGAAATAAATAGGTTATGCTGCGTTCCAACATGTTTTGTAAAACTTTACTCTAATATAGATGTTTTATCGGCAGGGTGGAGAGGAACTACCAATTTTGCATTAAAGATATTGTCAATGAAATCTTGTAAAACGAACCAGACGAGTGTGACCCCACAGACTGTTTGTGTCTATATAATATGCTATATAATTGCCAAACCCTAACTAATTTGCATAATTTTTTTTTTAATATCAAAACCCCTAGCCCTTATTCATTCACATACCAAAAATGAGCAAAATCCGTTGAACCTGAACTGACTAATGGCAATTCCCATTTTTGCCAAAAAATTGCCGTGGCTCAAAAGTACGTCGACTAGCATGCTTCAAAATAGGACGTCTAATATGGGAGCATAGCAATAACAACTATACCCAATTTCAAACATGTGGGTCAAACGGTTCCTGAGTTATCGTTGACCGTAGCGAAATGACGGACGGACGGACGGACGGATGACGACCCATGGCAATAGCTCAGCTTGACGATGTGAAGGTGAGCTAAAAACCCTAGTAGATACAGTAGTGACAATATTCGTAAATGGCATTGTATACCAAACGTGCAGAAGATGGAAGGATGTAATCGTACTTACGCTCTGCAGTAGGAAATGTACTTCTTTAGTTTCTCGAGTGGCAGCTCCCCTTCTTTAGGTTCCTCCGTCATCTGCCTAGCATTCATGTGAACATTCATGACGTGCTTTGCTAGCGTCTGACGGAAAATACCGAAAGAAATCGCAACGACGAGTTAAACGTTGACAATATTACTGTCTTCGAATTACGACCGTAGACAGTTAAACTGTGTATTGTTATACAACCTGAAGCTTCTAGCACCTTGTGACAAGCTCGCCACAACACAGTTGAAGGGTCCGTGATTGCGTCAGTTCACTGGGATGATGTTAGCGCACTATCTGAGGCTAAACTCATCTGCTAAATTCACTGGGCCTCATCCCTACATGGTTGCCATGGTTACATATGAAACAAAACACAACTTGAAACGGCAACAAGGTAGCGTGACAGTTACACTTACCACGTCACGGCTTTCGTTGTGTTCGTCCTTGATTATGAAGATCATGTCAAAGCGAGACAGAATTGTGGGCATGAAGTCGATGTTCTCTTCACCCTTGGTGTCGTCCCAGCGGCCAAAGACGCTGTTGGCTGCAGCCAACACAGAACAGCGCGAGTTCAACGTTGTAGTGATGCCAGCCTGCAAATACATGGACACGTCATCCTGCTGAACTACAGTACAGGCAGGGACTGTCACGCCAAGCTTACGCAAGTTTTCTGCAGCGACAAGTCGTCGCTGCTTGCAAGAAATATGTACGAACGACTGCCAGCACTGAGCAATCTCTAATCTCGGCTACTTAAAATCATGCAGATACCTAGATGAATATCGTTTTTCATTGTAAAAGAGTCTGGGCTAATTCCAGTTTATTAGCCAGAGAAAATCTTGAGCTGCCAAGTATACTGACGAGCATTTCTTTTCTCGTTCTGCCACCTTTCATGTGCATACATACACGCAATACATGCATATACGATCATGCAGAAATGACAGAATTTAAAACTCAAATGTTTTTTAACACAAGTGCTCTAACAATAGCCCTCGGTCCCATCGATCACAGTTGCTTTTTGGTTACCTTGGCGATAGAGATGGTCTGCTGTTCCATGGCTTCGTGTATGGCGACTCTGTCGTCTTCACGCATCTTGTCAAACTCATCGATGCAGACGACGCCTCCGTCAGCCAGCACCATGGCGCCCCCTTCCATCACGAAATTACGCTGTAAACACGCAGCAACACCTCGTTAGACTGCGGTACGATCGTCAGCGGCAGTGACTTAATTACTGTTTATGCTGGACCGCGCTCGTGCCATCATAATTGTGTTAATTAATTATTATTATCATAATTACTATTATTTATTAACATCGTAATTATCTTACGGTCTGCGGGTCTCTGTTAACCGAAGCTGTGAGTCCTGCTGCACTGCTGCCCTTCCCAGATGTATACACCTGTAGGTAATGGTGAGAGCCTCATGTCATTACACTGTTTGAATACTTTGTACTGTTAACCACTGTTTCGTTGGTGGCCACAACAATTTAGAATTTGTTTTTTTTTGAAATTTATTTACGCTTTCAAGTATATAACATTGTTACATATATCACAATTTTTTAAATAAATACAGAGAGGGAGGGCGAATTGACTATACAGTCTTCAAGTCAGCCACTCACGACAGACTCGGATAACAGTTTACTGACACGTAACCCAGCATATTCATTACATCGCACGGGACATAGGATGCAATTTATAATTTATAGAGGTACTATAATTTACAAGATGAGGAATCAAAATGAACATTCATCACTTTCCAGTGCTTCCTGATGCCTCATTTCTAATGACTAAACGCGACCGTAAACTAATCTAATCACTCGCGACAAAGCCGCCGCGCCGCACCACACAGATACGCCGCGCCGGAAAAACATGCCACGCCACAAAGACACGTTCGCCACGCCGCAAAAACACACCACCTCGCAAATGCACGCCACACTACACAGACACGCCGCGCCTCAAACACACGCCGCGCCGCAAAATCGCTCCGAACGCGCTATAATCTAACCGCTCGCGTTGCCGCGACAAAGACACGCCGCGCCGCGCTCTCACCGCGATCGGCGAAACGCGCTCGACGAACTTCAGCAGCTGGCTCTTCGCGGTTCCCGGGTCGCCGAGCAGGAGCAGGTTGATGTCGCCGCGTCGCGTGAGCCCGTCCGGCAGCCGCTTGCGCGAGCCGCCGATCAGCAGGCACGCGATCGCCTTCTTCACGTCCTCGCTGCCATAGATGGAGGGAGCGATGCTGCGAGCGATCGTCTCGTACACGCCCGGGCTCGCCGCGAGACGACGGAACTCCTCCTCCTCGTCCGCCGTCACGGGGCTCCCCGCGCTGCGTCCGAGGCCGGCAGTCTCGACCTCGATGCCGACGACGCGGAGGTAGGGACTCCGGATTCCGACGGTGGCCTTGTCCTTGGAGCCTGTCTGTGGCGGGGAGGAAGACGGGTGTCAAGATTAGAGATGTAACGATACACGTACCTCTCGATTCGATCCGTACCTCGATGTTAGCCTCTCGATTCGATACCTTCGATTCGATTCCAAAATGATTGAAATGTGATTAAATAACTTCATCGGATCTCTATAATTTACATGCTAATAAAGTTAATCTCAGTTAGATCCATAATAAGTAATTCCAGTGCTGCCATCTACCTGGAAACGTTAGACCGGAGGAAGTCTGACGGAGAGATGGACGAAAATTTCGTCAGAGTAAGTTATTTTGTACTTATTATGGATCTAACTGAGATTAACTTTATTCGCAAATATTGAAATGTTATCTTATTTTGTATATTTTCAATCATTCTAAGCAGATAATTAAAATAATAACAGTAAAAGGTCAAAAGACTAGAAATTATGAGAATACGCCAATGAATACTAAATGGTGAATAGACTAGAGACCCACTTGTTAACGAAACATTATCTTAAGTAAGTGGGATACTAAGTCAAAGAACAGAAAATGCAGCTCACTATATAGTCACAACTACCCTGATGGCGACCTTGTCATTGGAACCTCTCTGTGGCGGGGAGGAACACGGAGAGGAAGAGGAAGCAAGGCAAGATGTTACAGCACGGGTTCTTAACCTGTCGTCCATGGACCCCTTTGAGGTTCGTGGACGGGCTTCATGGGGTCCGTGAACCCCACTGTATGCAACGTTTTGTATTCATGTGCTTACGTGCATTTTTGTTGGAAGGGGTCCGTAGGTTTCACCAGATTCTCATAGGGGTCGACGACTCAAAAAAGGTCAAGACCACTGTGTTACAGTGTACTGCGCGTGGGGAGAGCCTATATGTGACCCGCTCCAGCATAATACGGACTAAGTCGCAAGTCATTGTTTTGAGTAATGAGCACGCACACATGTCAATGCTGAAAATGGCCTACCTGGACAAAAATGAGATTTTTACAAAAATAAGTTCCTAAGTGCATATATTTAATCGGGATATATAGGTTCAGATATCTCTAGATTATTATGGTCTTTTTTTTTCTTTTTTTTTCCCTTCGCCCTTCAGACCGGTTCCTGACCGCTTATCCCCGACTGGGCCGGCCCCTTACCCGGAACGCTTTACCTCAAAAGCTGCATATTCCGGAATAAGTCGGTTTCCGATCTTCAAATTGCTGTAGATCGGTCAATTCTTTAGATATAGCCAAATATTATATATCATTTTAAAGGTAATTAAATGATCTATTCAGATATGCACATAACTCAATTTGTAGAATTTCATACTTAATCCTGGTTTTGCTGGAGCGGGTCACATATGGGTTCACGAGGAGGCAAGTCAAGATGTTACAGTGTACTGCGCGCACAATCTCTTATGGATCTGATTAGTACGTGTACAATTAGATGCGAGTTGCGTACCCACCTTTCCAGCCGACATCTTTTTGATGGAGTAGATACCAATAACAGTGACTTTGTTTCCCGGAACAACCTTTTCTGTCAGGTACCTACAATTAACAAACGTTACAATTACAATTACGGCACATTTTGTCATAACTCGGCATAACACTGAAGCAGATAACATTCATATCCTCCATCAGGCTTCGCGGTTATTGCTGAGGTGGTAACTACTACGTAATTAACACAGTCACTGCACATATCAGTCGCTGTCAGTCGCTGTCAGTCGCAGACAGACATGTCACTGTCTATAGAAACATGTTGCCCACCTGTCGCAGAACAATTGCATGTGCCTGGGCATCTCTCCCTGGGGAACAGCTTCCGGGGATTCCTGCAGCTTCAGTAGCTGATAGTCAACACACTCGCACTTGTCCGGGACTATGAAGTACGGATCGAGCGGACATGGCGGCCGGCCAGCCTGATCTCTGTGCAGAACAACGATGAAGATCCAGAGAGAGAGATATAGAAGTGATTACACATGTTTTAATGTTTTGCTAATTATTGTAGAAAATTTAATCTAGGAAATTTTTTTAACAAAGTGCTTGTAGTGAAATTGTGGGTCGATTTTACCTGACTACTGCCGCAGCCATATTTTAACTATTCAATGCGTTTGTACTGTACAAAATTAATGCTTAACCACCACAGAGAGATTCTGGGTCTAACAGGACAGCTTAGCCACCACAATCAGATTTTGGGCCCAAGAAAACTCCAATTAATAATTATACTTGTGTTACGAATCACAGAAGCAAATCAGAGCGGCTCTTTCGTTTATAGAAGCAATTTGAAAGCAGCAGAGAACGTATGGGTTACTGACACCAACGCCTGAAATGCCACTGTTAGTGCTAGCATTATAGTAAGAACAGAGGAGTATGCCATACAAGTACGAGCTCAAACCATTAACCATTTTACAACCGATTGAGAACGACAATTCGTTAAAATTGGAATAAAATCGTAACAACTCAATGGGGCAGTTCTCTAACCACAGCAGCGCGCGCGCTCATTCTCACTCAACGTATTAGCCAGCAAGCCGTGCAGCCGCGATTTGCATGGTCAGTTTTGAAAATGCACGGGTTTTTTTTTTCCGGGGGAGGACCCCCTTCTCATACTCTCCCTTCCCCCTTGAATACCTACGGCGTTCACGAAGACCGCTACGGCAGTCTTGGCTGAGACACACACAAAAATTGCACTACCAAATATTTTTCCTGCACTCCCACAATACTCATTCCTGGCTAATACCCTGTTCGCACTCACGTGTTACACTTGCGTGGCAGCGTGTAGCCATCGAGCCCTGGCTTCACGTGTAGCTTAGGAATGAAGCTGCGGCAGCTGCGACACTGCACAGTGATGCTCGTCGCCTTAGACTTAATTGCCGAAGCAGCGATGATCATTCCCGGAATCTTCACCAGCTTCGATACGGCGTCCGACTAGAGGGGAACATTGCAAATCGTTGGCAGTTAGTCACCACGACTGCTAACCTTTGACCTATGCGATTTTACACAACGTTATTGTTGATATAGTCATCATCTTTGCTTCATTGCTATCGAAAACACTGTTTAACGTGAGGTTTTAATCATTTATATAATTGCAGCTATACTAAAAATAATACATGTTACGTATCACCAGCACATAAACTGTTGGGGTTCAAGAATAACAACTGGAAACTATATACCTTTAAATCTCTCATGACGGATGGGTTCGAATCAGATTTCAGCAGAATCTGAATGCTCTGTAACTCATCATCTGTGTCAGGTCTTGGTCGCGTCACCTCATCAGCTACCTCCTTAGCTGCATCTTCAAACTATGAAATGCAAGCAATTGACAAAAAATAAAATAAATATTGGTCATTTGAACTTTTTAAACGTTAGAAATTCAGGGTTCTGCCCAGGATTTTTTAGTGCCCGGCGCAGATGCAAGCGCCGTAGGCGCGAAGCCAGTCTAGGGGAGTCCGGGGGCATGCCCCCTGAAAATTTTTGATAGTCTGAAACTCAATTTCCTGCATTCTGAGCAATAAAAAGCCCATATATCACTTTTTTTTCCTTTTTTTTATATCAAAAATTAGTGCCGGGCGGAGATATATAGTGCCGGGCGGCAACCGCGAGTGCCGGGCACACCCGCCCACCGCCGCCCACCGTGGGCAGAACCCTGGAATTACAGTTTGTAGCTGCAACAGTAGGTATACATGCACGTGGCACATTTTTTTATAAACTCTTTTGAACTCCATGTTTCGGTAAACAGTTGCACTGTAGACCTCTCAGTGGAGCTCATTGTTTCTATTTACACAAGTCTATCCTCATCATGGATACAGGAACTCCTAATGCTGATGTACTGATTTACATACTATGCAGGCGTTCTGTGATTCACGAATACAATGAATAAAAGTGTCAATGACACTGCATGTAGCTCACCACAAC